TCACTCCGAGTCCAACTCCAGCCCGCGACCGCGATCCGTTCGTAAAGCGATGAACGTGCCCGGATAAACCGACCCGAGAAGCTCTGCAACAGAACGTCTCAAAGCTACAGAGTTATCTCCGGCTTTGAATCCACTCTTAATCCGCTTATCTATTTTGACGCCGTTTGATCGCCAACTCTTCTCTCCATGCCAGTGGACCCTGGCCACCGGGGGGAGGTCACGGTTGGCTGCAGTGCGAAGGGCTCTGTTCCCCTCGTTGAGGAGAAAGACCCTTTGGTTCCCGGATGTCTTAGCAGCGAGGGCAACGGATTTCGTAGCAATGGCTGCAGCAGATCGATAGCGGAAAGGGAGGATTCCGATTTCCACACATGCGGCGTCTGCTGACGTGGAAGGGAGAAGGCCGAATACGATGCGTACGTAGGTATTGTATACCGGAGCGAGGATGTGGTAGAGCTTCTCGGTGGCTAAGCAAGTTATTTCGAGCCCGTAGAAAAGTCGACTGAAGATAACAGCCCGAGCGACACGAAGGTGGATCTCACGGTTGCTGGAGCGATGCTGGCGGGAGATGGTCCTGACTATGTTGATGCGGCTACGACAGTTTTCTTTCACCATCCTGAAGTGCTGGTTGAAGCTTAGAGTGCGATCCAGTACTACCCCCAGAACACGCACTGATGCTCTTGGATGTTGGAAACTAACCGAAAGCGCCCACTGGTCCTATGTTCCTGGTCCGCTTAGTCGTTCGTCCCGTTAAGACGATGAGTATGTCGTCGGCATAAACGATTACGTGCATGTTCTTGGGCAATCTGCTGAATACCCCGTTCATTGCCACCAGAAATAGCGTTACCGCTATGATGGATCCCTGGGGCACTTCAGTTTCTTCGGGGAACGAATCCGAGCGAGTGTTCCCGACAATCACCTGGAAGGTACGATCAAGGAGGAAATTCCGTACAAAATGTGTGATGTGACCTTCCAGGCTCCAGCCGATGAGCTGCCTGATGACACCAGGTGTCCATGTCCTGTTGAACGCCTTTGAAATATCAAGGGAGACTAACTCCGCATGGTGACCGTTGTTCTGGGCTTGCTTAAGTACTTTCTCGAGGGATGCAAAGTAAGTGGAGGAGCCGTGTCGTTGGCGGAACGCATGCTGCCGTTCGTCAAGGAGGCCGTTTGACTCCAGGAACTGCTCAAGACGACGATTTACCATTCTCTCCATTACTTTTGCCGCGCAGCAAGTGAGTGCAATCGGCCTAAAGGAGGAGACTTCTTCACTCGCCGTGTTGTTCTTCGGAATGGGCGCAACCAAGCTTTGTTTCCATAGGTCCGGATACGAATCAGTGAGCCATAGATCGTTGAAGAGGGCGAGTAGCCTAGATTTTCCGTCGAGGGTGAGGTTTTTTACCACTACTGCTGCCGAGGGCAAATTGAAGCTCCCGGAATGTAAGAGCTTCTTTGATCTGGAGAGCAGGAACATCGGGTGGAATTCGCAAGTAACGAATGCTGCTTGTGGGTGGTTTGACGCGCTGACAGCAGACAGGCCGGCAAAATATTTTCCTAATTCGTCGGCGATGTCCTTCGGTTCTGAGATCGAGGTGCCATGAGCTTGGATAGTAGGTGGAGTAGACCGCCGCTTGTCACTCAGAGCGTTGACGCGATTTCACAATTCACTCGACGATTGGGATTCGTCGATTGAATCCAAGAAATCCATCCAGCTAGATCGCTTTGCGTCACGGATCACCTGTCTGCACGAGAGATGGCGTTCTCGGTAAAACTTCAGCGCTTCCTTCCTACCAGGGTCGGCGAGTCGCTTAAGCCGGCGTAAAGCTTTGTATCGAGCTTTCACCCCAAATTTGGTATCCTCGTTCCACCAACGTACACGCTATTTCGATGCTACTCATTTTTGAGTCGAAAATCACTCAGTTCACCCAAAAGGGAAGTTACTCAAAAATGAGTAAACATGCTTTTACTCAAATTTGATTAAACGTGCTAATGGATGAAACTGGGTAACGGTTACTCAGATGATGACATTTGTCAACTGAGTAAACCTTACCCATTTCGATATAAACGAATAAACGCCCTAATGAATGCTTTGCATATACATTTTTTCGTCCGGGAAGAAAATTAAATTTGGTGTCGAATCCTTTAAACTGGTCCTCTCCAACTGCATACGGCGGTCTTATACTACAACTAGGCATTTTATATCCAGGCCAACCTCGCTCAAGGGGACTGAGCTTCATCCGTTTGAAGTTCACCATCTCATCGCGAATCTTCTTGAGCTTGGCTTCCCGCTCCTTATCTTCCGGAAGCTGCTGCTGTTGGACAAGCTCGCGACCTCGAATAATCGGTGCTGACAATCCTAGCCATACAATGTTGGCCTTACCGAAACCAGGCACCTGTCCTTTGTTCAAATCCTTGGGAGTAATACGTCCGGATCCCTTGCCTCGTCTTCGTTTCTTGCCGGCACTACTAACCGAAATGATTTATATCAGAACCATTTACCCAGAATCTGGGTAGATCTCACTCATCAGAGAAAAACCAGTTTACTCATTTTTTGACAACTCTATACAGCATGCAAAAATGAGTGCGATCCACCCAGTCACTGAGTAGCCTCAAAATAGCGTGTAGGGCTTTTCACCCAGGTACGCTACTCGTCCTTGGGATAGATACTGTTGTAGCTTCGTAGAGTACTTCCGTGAAACTCGAGATGTCGTTCGGATCGCGTTGCTGAAGGAGGAGAGTGTCAGATTTCTCCCTGAAGGCGTTCCAGTTTTAATTTAGTTTTAAGGAAAATTATGGAACACTCAGAGATATTTGATTTTGTATGATTTTGTATGAAAAAAAATACGTTACAAATGCTTTTTCTTGATTTTCACTGCGAGGGTCTTCAACAACTTCTTATTTTAGTATTTTTAATTTAAAGATCATTTAATTTTAAATATTACATCAAAAAGTTTGCTATGTCGAAGGAGTCGTTTAAGAGATATATTTTTTTAAATAAAAATCATTGTTCCGCAAAATATACACCACATAAGCATGGAAACGATGAGGTCGCAAGGTAGTTCATAATGCGTTTCGAGTCACAGCAGCTGTGACTAACGAAATCTATGAGTAACTTACAAGCTGGGTGCAACATTCAGTTCAGTTCAGTTGGGGGCTGTCCATAAACCACGTAGACCAAGTTTTAGACATTGCAGATCCTACCTTCCCCCTCGTATACTTTGCTCGATTTCCTATCCATATGGGACAGTCATGCGATTATGGGCAGTAAATGAAAGTACAAAACCTAATGACAGACGTTAAATCTAAAGCCCTAAGATGCTACAGTAATACCAACAATCAATACGAAACTAACGATTTTAAATTGGCTCACCACTTGACTAGCCTATTGGTCCCAAGCAAACGATTAACGTACCCTATTCTAGTCGAAATTCTAGTACTACGCAATGTTTGTTTTGATTCGCTATGAAAGTTTGACAGATAAAATGAGGGGTTATTGGTTTTTCCTATGTTTCGAGGGGTGAATCATTAGCTTGGGACCGAAGAGAGTACCAGAGCTGAGCCAAAAAGTTGAGCACGTTATTTTGGGACCTTCTAGTCTTAGAGTTACCTCTATGGTAATACCGTGGGCCACCGTTAATCTGAACGACACTTCGTGCATATTAACGAGGTCTATTTTTAATTTGAACTTCTAGTAACCCTATCACCATCAGAAAAACGAGTTTCTGGTAGTCTTATTTGTTTTGATTCTGCGTTCCGTTTCGCATAGTTCCATTTCGCTTTACTCAATTTCAAGTGCTAAATGACGTTTGAGCAATTTTTAATTTGCACGGCGTGCAGATTAGCGGGGTTCAAACTAAAAAGTGTTTAGATTAAAAACGGTCAGATTACCGGGGTTCGCTTTCGAATGTGTCAAGTGAAGGTAATGTTGGTGCTCGACTATAGATCTATAGACTAAAAATCAACATTTAAGAAACTGTTTCAAATTTCTGCACTGGTTTGCTCTAAATGGTTTTCATTAGATCCGCTCCATTTCCTGATAACCTTCATCTGTTTAGCTCTACCGGAATGCTTTTTCGTTTTAATTATACCTAGATGACCATCATCCATTTGCGTAACTCATTCGTGCTTTTCATAATATCTACTCAACGAATACTGTAGCCCACAGACTTTGTTTGTCTTCTCTTCTTTCATGCCCTACCTGCCTAAAAAACAATGTTTTAGTGGAACTGGTAATAGATTATTGGAACTGGCAGATCAAATCATAACGTAGGTGACTGCAAGATTTTTCCAATTTAGAGATTTTGCGTATTTCACATTCCTTTAAAGCGACCATTTTGACAGTTTTTACCTTGTTTACAAGAAATTCCCTTTAAATGGCCTCATTCCCAATGTATTGCCGGTATAACACCAAAGTCGAGTTTTTCTGCCTTCCTCCTCTCCGCGCGCTTTTGCCCACAAATTGAGTATATACCTACTATTATAACCGGTACATTGGAAGAATCTTGGGCGACTGGACGTTCCAGAATTGACGCATTGCTACACTGTAGCAATGATGCATTTCTTTTCGAAATTCATATATACACCGATTCGAATGCTGCTGTGGTTTGCTTTCGGTGAATGTTTACGGTATACCAACTGTCTGCAGGCAATCGTAGCCCGGCAATGGTTTAATTTTTGGTCGTTGCAATCATCCATCCATATGTGCACCGAATATGTATACAACACATTCCTCCAATATAACGTATAAATATTGATAGGGTGGAGACCGGCTTCAGCCCCCTCCCGAGACCACTATTCCTAGCACGCGAAAATTTATCGAAAATCTATCTAAAACCTGCTCTATGATGTGAAATATCATGCTGCAGAGAATGAGCACTGAAAGTTATTGTTTACCCCATGCTTGGAATAGGGTCTCGGGGCGGCTGAAGCCGTTCTCTACCCTACGTAGATTTAGTTTGGTTCAGCTGTTTTTTGACTCTTTTCATTCGATTTTTATTCCACAGAATAATGGCTGGTGGTGGAGCAATCAGTCGCCGTTTGTGAAACTCCACAGCCGTCGGTGCTGCAACGGAACGTTGAAATCCACGACAACGACGACGACGTCGACGACTTGAATTCGTCTGTGTGTAAGTGTTTCTGTTAGCATTTTTGTGTTACACTAGTGTGTTTAATGCACTGTGCCCGCGATCGTAATAATCCGGTAATACGTCACGATATTTATTGGAGCCTACGCTGCTGCTGCTAGCCGAATGTGAAAGAAGTTGTGCTCTTTGTTGTGAGTTGATGGATGCTGGAGGCGAACGAGAGCGTGCAACTACTACAGATGAGGATGTTGATGGAGCAGCAGAAAATGGTGGAGTGAGACGAGAAGAGACCGATCGAAAGAGTGGTTCAAATTTTGTTGTGAAGCTCTCTGTTGGCTCTGATTCGGTTGCAATCTTGCAAAGTGCTGCTGCAACGGCTGTTGATGGTGGCGATGTTGGTCCGTAGATGAAGTGTCGAAAGAAGAGCAAAAATTAAATCTGAAGAAAAATAAGTGAGGCAATAGAGAGGCTCCGGGCTGAAAAGAATAGTTTTGGAAAAGTTGGTTGAAGCTGCGAAGAGTAAGGGAGAGAGTGCGAGGGAGGAAAACTTGTGGTGGAAAAGATTGTGGAAGCAAGAATTTAGTTGGTGCCCTGATTGAGGGAATGTGTTAGAGCTGAGTCAAGCAGCAAGGAACAAAACTTGTAGCAACTCTGTCGGGGACTTATTTTCGACTGATGAAAAGGTAAGTCGAACTTCTTCGTCAACTTTGATGCTAGTTGGACCATTGTATTTATTTCTTAGCCGTTTGGTGCTAAGGTGCTAGGGTTGCTGTGAGTACATACTCGACTGAGAAAATTGTGGTGAATAAATTGAGAAAATGGTGGTTTCGCCACTTCTTTAGCTATTATGTCAGGGGGTAAATTAAGTCTTAGAGTGTTCATTTTTTTGTCAAACAATGCTCTGGAATATTATGCACCTTCGTTTCTAGTGCTCACGGACTTCATTTACCCCTCCCCTCCCTCACTTCTCTTCTAACTTCAATATATGCTGGTTGGAAATCCAAAATATCGTGGGATGTTTGCAAATTAACAGTAAGCAGTAAAACTATAATTTACGACGTGTGTCCTTCGAGCATGTTATTTTTTTTTTATATAAAAACCATATTTCATATGATTTTTTGCTTTACTAAACATTTAGAAGTTACAACACGCATTACTGGATTAGGGAAATTTTAATTTTAATAAAAGTAGCAACTGTTAAAAAGTACTTGCCGTTTGTTTTTAGGCCTGTTGACAGTCAGGTTTTGAAGAAAATGTCAGCCAGCGTCGTAGCGAGGGTTAGAAAATGAAAATGACGCCCTTTTCTTTTCGTTAGTGCTTTATTATAGGGCATTTTTTTTTTAATTATAGTCACTTTAACGCTCTTGGGTAATTCGTGACTTGTCCGGGGGTGAGTTTAGAACTCGTGACTTTGGCGTGAGAGGTATGGATGCTAACCACTACGCCGGGGTTGCCCCCTTAGAGGGCAATTATGTTTTTAGATTTACCATATGATTTAGCCCCAGGATATCAATTTTGTTTTCTAAACCTGATTTTGAGAGAAAAAGAAATGTTTCAGATCTGAAGAATTTTGAATCTGGGTATTTTTTTTTTCAAATATCAGAATCTTAATCTTAGTCTCAAACCCTTGCTTTTTTAAGTTTGCAATCTATAACATATCTATAATCAATTTAATTTTAGTCTAAAAGTTTTCTAATCTGCGAATATTCGAAAAGTGTTAGACTAGCCACACACTTCTCACTGAACAGTTGTGGATAGTTGTATGTAACTTATTTCAGTCGCAATCAAGTGCTAGCAACTTATTATGATGGACGTGTGCTTCTTGGGATGGTTTATCAGTAGTTTCTAATAATCAATCGTTAAAATTCCTTAAGCTGCTTTCTTATATGATGCGATATTAAGATTTTCTTAACAAATATTTATTAAGTCCATTCGGGGCAATTTGAGCACCTCTCATATTTCAAACATTTGCTACTTATATCTTCCGATTTTGCATTAATCGTTTTAAAAATATAACATTATCATATGATATCGCGTTTTGAAGCAGCTGCTTTGGTAAAAATAGAACTGAACATATATAGCTTTAATTAGGCAGTAGTTTTAATTTTAATTTATCTACAGAAAGTAATTGTTCATGTAAATCTTCATGAGAACAGAATGTGCTTACCGGTTGTTTGCTAGGGCGCATACGAGTCAAACGTTTGCTTTATATATTAAATTTGTATTCATGATGTATATGGGGCCATCCATTTGGTTGAAGATCATTCGAATGTCTCACTGAATTTTGCATCATTAGTATTGATTTTTTAAGGCGTCCAAACTGCCCCATGTACCCCTATGTCCCTTATATCTAGTTTTTCCTTTTCCCGACCATTTTTGCCTACCCGGGAATATGTAAACAGCTGATGGCTCTTGCCGTGAACTTCCGGGAGTCAGGAAATATTTTATTCCGGTAACGAGATACAAGTCAGCAGCGTTCCGAAAATCATTCTCAAATCTCATTTATTGAGCCTGCCTGGGAGAATAAACTCGCGTGTGTATCAGGAAAACAAATTTCAACACTTTGACTATATGTTTAGTATTACTTCTGCGTGAAGTCAACGATTTACATAGTTGAAGATGCTAATTTCAAATAGCAGACTAAAGTGGTAATTTTTATAAAATAGATGGAAGAGATGAAAGTATAGAGTTGATAGTACTTTCCACCACTGAGGGACACCCCTCACCATCCCTCTCCAAAAGGGGAGTTTTTGTAAAGAGAGATGAAAAAACCGATTTGTACCTTCCTTAAAAGTTGTCCTAGCTCGCTATCTACTATCTATATGCAATTTTCACACTGCCATACTCTAACGGAACTATCAACTCTATACTTTCATCTTCTCCATCTATCGTATAAAAATTACCACCTTAGTCTGTTATTTGAAATTAGCATCTTCAACTATAAATTTCTCAAGTTTTTATCAACTTGTCCTGGATGATTCTTCAATAATGTCTTGCAAGTCTTGCGACTTTTTCTGGAAGTGTTTTTCGACTTGCTTTGAATGTATCGTGTGGCTTCCTGTGGAAGTGAATTCTTACTTCCTGTGGAAGTGTCTTCCGACTTCCTCTGGAAGTGTCTTCAGACTTCTTCTGGAAGTGTCTTGCGACTTCCTGTGGAAGTATCTTCATACTTCCTCTGGGAGTGTCTTCCGACTTCCTTTGGGAGTATCTTCCGACTTTCTCTGGAAGTGTCTTCCGACTTCCTCTGGAAGTGTCTTTCGACTTCCTGTGGAAGTGTTTTCCGCCTTCCTCTGGAAGTGTCTTCCGACTTCCTCTGGAAGTGTCTTTCGACTTCCTGTGGAAGTGTTTTCCGCCTTCCTCTGGAAGTGTCTTCCGACTTCCTCTGGAAGTGTATTTCGACTTCCTCTGGAAGTGTCTTCCGACTTCCTCTGGAAGTGTCTTGCTACCTTCTCTGAAAGTGTCGTCCGAATTCCTCTGGAAGTATCTTCCGACTTCCTCTGTAAGTGTTTTCCGACTTCCTCTGGAAGTGTCTTCCGACTTCCTCTGGAAATGTCTTCCGATTTCCTCTGGAAGTGTCTTTCAACTTCCTGTGTAAGTGTGTTCCAACTTCCTCTGGAAGTGTCTTCCGACTTCCTCTGGAAGTGTTTTCCGACTTCCTCTGGAAGTATTTTCCGACTTCCTCTGGAAATGTCTTCCGACTTTCTTTGGAAGTGTCTTCCGACTTCCTCTGGAAGTGTCTTCCGACTTCCTGTGTTATTGTCTTCTGACTTCCTCTTGAAGTGTCTTCCTACTTCCTCTAGAAGGGTCTTCCGACTTCCTCTGGAAGTGTCTTCCGACTTTCTCTGGAAGTGTATTTCGACTTCCTCTGGAAGTGTCTTCCGACTTCCTCTGAAAATGTCTTCCGATTTCCTCTGGAAGTGTCTTCCAACTTCCTGTGTAAGTGTGTTCCAACTTCCTCTGGAAGTGTCTTCAACTTCCTCTGGAAGTGTTTTCCGACTTCCTCTGGAAGTATTTTCCGACTTCCTCTGGAAATGTCTTCCGACTTTCTTTGGAAGTGTCTTCCGACTTCCTCTGGAAGTGTCTTCCGACTTCCTGTGTTATTGTCTTCTGACTTCCTCTTGAAGTGTCTTCCTACTTCCTCTAGAAGGGTCTTCCGACTTCCTCTGGAAGTGTATTTCGACTTCCTCTGGAAGTGTCTTCCGACTACGTCTGGAAGTGTCTTCCGCCTTCCTCTGAAAGTGTTTTCCGACTTCTTCTGGAAGTGTCTTCCGACTTCTTTTGGAAGTGTTTTCCGGCTTACTCTGGAAGTGTTTTCCGACTTACTCTGGAAGTGTCTTCCGACTTTCTCTGAAAGTGTCTTCCGATCTCCTCTGGAAGTGTCTTCCAACTTCCTGTGTAAGTGTGTTCCAACTTTCTCTGGAAGTGTCTCCCAACTTCCTCTGGAAGTGTTTTCCGACTTCCTCTGGAAGTATTTTCCGACTTCCTTTGGAAATGTCTTCCGACTTTCTTTGGAAGTGTCTTCCGACTTCCTCTGGAAGTGTCTTCCGACTTCCTCTGGAAGTGTCTTCCGACTTCCTGTGTTATTGTCTTCTGACTTCCTCTTGAAGTGTCTTCCTACTTCCTCTAGAAGTGTCTTCCAACTTCCTGTGTAAGTGGGTTCCAACTTCCTCTGGAAGTGTTTTCCGACTTCATCAGTAAGTGTTTTTCGACTTCCACTGTAAGTGTCTTCCGACTTCCTCTGGAAGTACCTTCCGACTTCCTTTGGAAGTGTCTTCCGACGAAGGTTTTTCAGATTTCCCCGGAATTTTCTCCGGAAATTGCTGTCTCCTTACCCAAAAGTTTCTTCCAGCTTCTCCGAAATTGTTCATCTGATTGCTCCCAGAAGTGCCTTCCGATTTCACCCGCAATTTTATTCTAACTTCCCTCTTGAGTTTATTTCAACTTCCTTCGGAAATTTTTTCCAACTTTAGCTGAAAGTGTATCCCGCCCTACCTAATTTTTATGTACCTATTTTCATCAGAGCAGTTCCAGGCCAAATAGCAAAAAACTTAACAAAATTTTGGTTTTGTCTCTCAGAGTTCATTGAAATTACGCATAATTGTTCACTAGAGGCAATGAACTAAGTTTGTGCTGGAATTCGGCCGTTTTGACTCAAAACAATTTTTTACAAATGTCGCATTTGATATTTTTTTAATAAATCGTAGCATGAATTTTCGTCAAAAAATAAATAAAAATGGTTAAAAATTTCAATAGCAAAAAAGTGCAGTTTTCATATTTTTAAATTTATAAGCTTTCAATTATTAAAAATTGTAACTTTTCTGAAATGCACACAATGGGCACCTAAAAATTGACGAAAATCGTAGAACAATAACTATTTGTAGAAAACAAATCGTGATTTATGCATGAGAAACGATCTATGCATTCTGCATAAAATACAATACAAATTATTTATGAAAAAAAAAGTTCAAAAATTATACTAAAAATTGATATTGTATGATTTTGTTTAATTTTGAAGTATCCATTTTGTCTCTTTAAGAAATTTGAACATTTTTTAACTTCCATAAACATTGTTTTAACAGTTTTTTTTTAATTTTTTTTACGAATATGTATTTTTTTTTATTTAGTTGGTATTTTTTTCTGATTACCTAGTTTCCTACAACTTTGTCTCAGACATCATTTCAAT